GAAGCAACCACCATGACTACCATGACCAACATCACCAACACCTTACCCAGTTTCTCCATTCTCTTTTTAATATCTTCTCTCACGCACTCCTTCCTTTGTATTCTGAGAGCACTTAGGTATGTATGCTAGGAGACATTTCTCTCCCTTTTATACTGCCAATCCCTTTGCCCTTTGCTTTTAAATGCACCATTCCTATGTAGGTACACTTTTTTTAATTGAATGCTATTATTATCTTTCAACTTACAAATAAAAAATTTAATCTTATATTTTACATTTAGTAGTAGTAGTAGTATTTTTCTACAACATTTATTATATAGTATCATACTAGTTATTTATTTTACATTTTCCTTTTTTTGTCTCTCTTATTACTGCATAGAAAACAGTTCAAATACAATTTTCAAAGTGTTTTTGTTTGATTTTTAGTCTCCTTTTTTATCCAAAAAAGAAATTAAAAAAAAAAAAAAAGCTTAAGCTGTTATATTTTCGAATTAAATATAATGCTTAAGAATTAATAAATAGAATATTTTTATTAAAAATATAACAAAAAATGCCGCTAATGTTAAACACTGTAGTAGAAAATTTAAAATTATTTATTAGCTAACCTGGAGAATCCTATTTGAAATTAAACATATATTAAGCTGGTCTAAGCCATGGGAACATCTGAGTTGTAAAAATCATGGTCGATGATGAAGCACGAGATACATAATACTAAGTAGTAAGTTTTAAGATCATTTATTATTATAGGTGGGAATTGATGAATCTGGCCAACTAACGAAAGTTGATGTTCAAACAAGAGTCAGGGTCCTTAAAAATCTCTGGACATTGACAGAGGAGTTGATCACATCTACATCTACATCTACCCAACTCAGACACCAATACCAATAGGTTTCCATAACAAAGGTTGGAGATAGCAGCAGCAGTAAAGACTAGGATTTAGTCCAAAAACACTCAAAATGTATCATGTGGATCTATTATTATTAATGTCTTTTATGTCACATCGTCTCGTATTAGTTGACAGATCAATGTTGCAAATTGAGGTGAAATTAGTAGTGTTATTATTTTTCCATAAAAACATATCCTAAGTGTATCAAAGACATTTCTTAAGATTATTAGTAATGTAACTCTTTATCGTGGAGAATGATGAAGCCTTTGTGTCTTACTGATGACTGTGCAGGATTTTGTTAAAAAAGGTGGTCCCGGCGGGGCTCGAACCCGCGACCTTCGGCTCATAAGACCAACGCTCTAACCAGCTGAGCTACGGGACCTTGATATTATTTTGATCATTATTTCTTTATGGATTTTTGTGATTACATTTTTGGAAGCCAAATTTTACAAGCTTTCACTATACATAAAGAGATGTTCCATTAGTCGCGAAAATAATCATACAAGCTTGCAGCTTACGTAAAGAAAGACAGAGCAGAATGTTTCTGCTATTACAGAGGTTATATATTAGTAGCTGTATATGTAACTCCATTAGTTATGAATTTATATCTCTACAAATTTAACTGTGTTTAGTATCATTATGCGGCAAATAAGTTATTTGCCATGATCAAGCCAAATTAAATCATGTAGCTTGCTAACATTTTTTTTATATATAATTTAACACTTCATTCCATTTGGTATAAACACGTTAAACATGATGAAACTCAAATTAAATCACATTAGTTGTTTTACTTTTCCTTTCGAATATTGCCACCGAAACAAAAGTCAAGCAATTGAAGATTGGAGTTATTGGGGAAGGAGCAAGAAAAGAGGGGCATTGAGTGTTGTGTAATTTCTCTTCCTTGACTCATCTTTTTCTTCTGTTGAGACTACGTAGTTTACTAGCCTGATATATTGGTACACTGGTTATATGGGGAATTGAATAATACTCCATTCCTATGCATTAATTTCTTATTTCCTCTGTTGTGGTTTGTTTTCTTGTAAAATTGAGTTTTGTCATTAATTACATTTGGCGGATAACATCATATGGATCTACAAGAATCAACACTATTGAAGCAAATCGATGAATTCGTTTTACATCTGATCTAACAAAGTGGGTTGGATACTACAAATTTCCCAACAAGTGCAACAATCATAACATAGGTACTGATTGTAGTGTTCTGTTAGGAAGTTTCAATTAAATATGGTGGTTTGCATGCAGACAATTGATAGACACCAACACCATCTTTACGAATATCCTCTATCCTGTCCTGTGCTAATTGTCCTTATTATATATGAATTCCACTGCGGTGCCCAGTTGTTATCAACATTACATATGGGTTCTGAAGCAATTTACATTAATGAAATTTGGATCACCTAAAAGTAAAACTCATCATAATGAAAGCAAATGCTTGACAAATACCGAGAGTCTAGGACACTTTGATGTTTTAGATAGGGGAAACATTTAGAATTTAGTATGTGCATGTAGAAGCATATCAAAGTGAGACATTAGAGGTGAGAAGAGGTTAATCTTAAAGTATTCAATCTTACATTTAGAATATCTTGTGTGGATGCTTGACTTGGCTAATTGGTCGTAGAAGGATGCTTTATAGAAACTTTAAGTTCATCCTGGAATGTGTTAATTTGGCGAATTGTATCTTCATAATTAGATTCAAAGTGCTTTCCTGTCCTAAAAATAGAAAGAAAGAAAATTATCTAGATTGCAATTTTCTGTGGTATATTTTCATTTATTTCTATTCATTGGTTTTTTTTGGGGAAGTGGGAGTGAGTAAACACAGAAGGAGATAGCACTTCAAAATCAATATGCTAATTCTTGAATTTTGTTTGGAGATAATTATTATTTATTCTGGTACTTAAATTTTGGATCTATTTTCTTCCAAATCATGACTTTACCTTGTCTGCAAACTTCTTTTGTTTTTGCATGATTTTTTTTCTCTACTAGAGGAGGGCTGCTTGTTTTGGCAGATATGAAAAAGCATACTTGTGGATCTGGACTTGTATGATCTGTCAAAAATAACTAATTAATAAGATCAGCTCAAAGATAAAAGATGTTAAACCCTAAACCCTAACTCATGTGCCCATTTCCCTTTATTGTGACAAGAAGTATGCCAATCAAATTTCCCAAGATTGCATGAAACAACAATCATATTGATTTGGTTGTTATTTCTTCAAAGAAATCATATTATTCATATAAAAATACTACCAATTTTGTTGATAATTAATATTCACTGAAAAATATGATATAATATTTTAAATATTTTTTAATTATATTTTTTATATCCACAAAATTCGAAACCGAAAATAAAAAGAAGCTTTAGTCAAAGATCATTCACCAGTTACCAAGTCCTCCATCCACTCAACTTGCTGAACTAACAAAGACACTTTTTCTTGTCACTTTTCATAGCTAATTAATAGTTAAGTTGAATTAATTTAATAATATTTAAATTAAATTAATTTTTTTCCTTTACTTTTTATCTGATTTTATTACTTTCATTAACAAATCGTAAAGAATATTATTGCTACAATATCAAGAAATGTATTAGTAAAAACCAAAAAGATATTCAAAAGGAAACATTTTGTAACATTAAACCTATGTTTGGTCAGTCGAGAGTCGAGGAGGATGACAAGTGAGGAAAGAGAAAAAAAAATTAAATATAAATTAAATGGAAAGTGAGAAGAAAAATAATTTTAAACTTCTTTAATAGAAAGTAAACCTTTTTTTTTAGGTTCGTCCTAGAGTATTCAGGGCTAATAGCAATGACTAATTTTCCTAACTCCAAGATTTAACGCAACTGCATACACAAGGTAGAATTCGAACTCCTGATCTTGCTTAAGCATAAATTAACCACTACCGTTGAACCACACACTCGAAATTTCAAATTTTCTTTTTAATCAAATAAAAAAATTATTATCATCATATTTTATTTCTATCTTCTCACTCTCATCTCTTTCAAACATATTTAAAAGTGAAATAAAAATATTAATGGTCATATCAACATATTTATAATTTTAAAATTTATGAAAAATATATTTTCAACATGTCTTATGTAAATCTATAATTTCATTATATTAATTTTAAAACTTTTATGTCAATTCACATACCATAAAATGCCATAATAAATTATTTATAAATATTATGATCTCTATTATATATATATATATAT